TTTTTTAGTACTCTTTCCACCTCTGGTCTGTTTTTATAAGTGACACATCAGATGCAACGCCATTCATACAGCTCCCACCTTGGTCATTTCGGCAAACAAAACACTTATGTCCATCTTTGAATGTTCTTCTTGGCTATCGGAGTTTGCGTTAGCATTGTTAATTCTGGAGGGCTAGCATTAGCTTCCCCCACGGTCACCGTGACTAAGCGCGTTTGTACGCTCTTTTTCCTCTGGCTTGCGGACATTCTTAGCTGAAAGTTTTGAACTCTGTAACTTTAGAAAGCTACCACTGGCCTGAAAAGTGCAGTTTGGGAGAGAGTAAGTAGTTAGAAACCACAATAAAGTTGACGGGATTCCTCATCACGTGACTCTTGTTGCTGTTTCCTTAAATGACGAAGGCAGCCTGAGCTTCACAGACAAAGGAAGGATAAAATCCTTCATTCTGATTCTATCAGGGATGCAGCAGATTTTTCTTTATTCTATTGTCAGGCTCCGGGGTCTTCCTATTAAAAACCAATTCAAATGAACGTTATTCTATTATTTTTTATTCTATTAGTCTGTATTCTACTCTATTCAAATATAAAAACAGGACGGGTCTGGTTTTGTTCATTTCCTTCTGTCACCATGTTCCATAATGTTATGGAAGGTCCTGGAGATGAAAACTGAGGCAAATCCAGAGAGAGAAAAGGGTCCAAACATGGTCTGACAGTAGTAGTAAAATGTGCACAGGTTTTAGTCACAAACCAAATTCTCTATTTCCACAGCAGCCACTCGGAGAGATTAGCTTCATCTCTGCAGGATTTGGTGGGATGTTGCTTTGTCCCTGTGCCATGAATGTCTGAGGTTCTCACTAAGACAGAGAAAAGGTGATGGTTGCTCTGACTTATGAAAATGTAAACAAAATAGCACCTTATAGAGGAAAAAGAATGAATAATATAATCCAATAAGATAAAATCTAAAGTTATGTGTCACTTTAATCTGAATTAGATTTCACTAAATGAAAAACTAAGAGAATGTGATTTCCCTTTCCTCCAAAAATATTAATGCACATTAATGCAAATATATGGGATGTAGTTTGGAAAATGCAACTAAAATACATAAAAGCTATGAGTTTATTAACTAAAATTATAGATTTGCAAATATTAATAATAATTTTTGGCACATTTAAAACAGTTGTTTCAAAGATAATGAAACCTAAAACCTGCTTAATGGATTTAAATGTAGGATGATAACATTTATCATGATCCCTCTACCTAAAGCCCCCCACAGGCTTTAGGTAGAGGGGGGGCTTCAAAGCTTAACTTTGAGGGACGGCAGCAGAATGCGCCATAAGATGTTCTGATTCTTAGGTCAGAGGTGACGAGGTCTTCAGAGAGATCTCCCTATTATCCCAGGTTGGCTTCCAGCAGAATAGTAACTGGTTCGCTGTTTATTGACTAGAGTTAAATTATCTGCAGATAAATAGACTGAAAAGCGGCCATTTTACCGTTGACCCAGTTACAGGAGGTTCGGTAAAGATGGGCAGGCTAAGGGTTCCAGGAATCTGCCTAAACCTTTTGTTGAAGAGCTTCAACAAAACAAATGAGAATAAAGGGGCAGAATAATCCCCTCTGATTGGTTAATTAACACATCAGTAGTCCACCTGATGTGTTGAAGACCAGCTGTTCTGCAGACAACGTTCAAAATGTGGCCTGTATAAGGGACCAACATCAACAGAAAGATGACGCCCACCTGAAGATGTCTGACATCAGCTTTGGCTTTTTGATTATTTCATTATCCAACATGAATGAAAAGGGAAATGTGTTGTAATGTGTTGTGTTTTAATGAAAGATGAACATTTTTAGTATCTGAATGTTTGATATTAGTTTCTTAATCCAAAGAAAGTCCAAGTGTTAGATGAGCAGCTGATGGCTGATGGTCAGTATTGGCAGAGATTTCTGGATTAGAGAATGAACTCTGATGATCGGGTCATCTCAGCTACCATTGGGGAAGAGGAGCGCTGAGATTAAATCCTCCAACTTTTCAATCTGTGCTTTGACTGACCCTGATTCTGAAGAGCTGAACTGAATCTGTGTGAAACATCTTTATGATTTTAACATTTTGCATAGAGATTGATCTTTTTTTTACTTTTAATGAAGCTCAGATTAATAATTTGACTTACCCTTTAGAGAGATGATGGAGTCTAATGTTTTGACTGATTTGAACTTTCCTCTTTCCAGGGGGACAAAGGGTAACTGATAATAAGAACTAAAAATTAACATTTTCAGCAAATAGATATTTTACCATAAAAGTATCATAATGGGGAAAAACAGTTCAATGTTTTTGCCAACTAAGGTGTGATTCCAGGGCTCTATTTATTGGCAACATATTTTAGCTATCATAATCTTTTCCAGGATTTTTCCATCTATTATAATCATTTAACATTGTCCACTGACTTGATTGCAGTTGTGCATTTTTGATCTATTTTTTTAATTATTATTTTTAATGTCAGTTTCTTATTTTTTAACTTTCTTTACATTCACAATTTTAGTTTTTTAGGTTTTTTTATATTCATAAATATTCCTTTTTTAATATAAATTATACAAGGATATTATCCTTTTATAATTGAAAGGGTGGACTGTTGTTGGAAAATTTAGATTTCTCTTCTATTCTATATTAATTTATCCTATTTCCTCTCTATAAAAGTTTTCACTCAGCCTGTTTCACCTTGAAGGCCACGCCATTCTCTGCAGGATGGTGTTTGTAGACCAGACAGAGCTTCTTCCCATAACAAACCAGATTCTTTCTCAGGTTTATTCATAACATGTTACTGTTTAACCAAAGTGTCTGTAATTAGTTTTGACTCTGACTACTTTCCATTGTTGTAAGTAAGGAGGAAAGAACGCTGCTCAGATCAGAACAGGGCAGAATGCTGTGCCATTAGGGCTGTATGATGATCTGTTCTCTCTTTGCAAAGATGTGAATAAATGTGCCGACTGAGTGAAATCCATCCACCTCCGTTTATTTAACTAGTATTAGTCAATAGTTGAATACTTTTTTCCCACGACACGGTCAATCTACGTTCCTAACCTCATCTATGAAGAACAAGATCCGGATCCAAGCGGCTGAAATGAGTTTTCTCCGTAGTGTGTCTGGGCTCTCCCTTAGAGATAGGGGGAGGAGCTCAGTCATCCAGGGAGGACTCAGAGTAGAGCCGCTGCTCCTCCACATCGAGAGGAGCCAGTTGAGGTGGCTCGGCCATCTGGTTAGGATGCCTCCTGGACGTCTCCCTGGTGAGGTGTTCCAGGCACGTCCCACCGGGAGGAGGCCCAGGGGGGGACCCAGGACACGCTGGAGGGACTATGTTTCTCTGCTGGCCTGGGAGCATCTTGGGATTCCCCCGGAGGAGGATCTGTAAGGCAAGTGATCAAAAAAACGGTAACTTGCCCTGGATCGGTCACATGACTTTCAGTAGTAGACATTAAAAATTTCCCGTTTTCTTCACGTGCCCTTGCCTTGTCCTTGGTTGGACCATTGGTTGGTCATTTTGATTCAGTCTCCTTTTGCACAGTAAATTGTCAGTTTGTAGTCTTGCTTTGGATGTTATCATCCCAATAAATTGCTGTAATAACACCAAGATTTTTTACTTTATTTTCTGAAATCAGTTTAATCCCATCCAAATGAAGTGACTGACTAATCAGCTTCTTTTTCAGAGACTCTGGTCCAAAGACTATAACTTCTGTTTTGTCTGCATTCAGAAGGAGAAAGTTAAGAGTCATCCAGGTTTTTATGTCTTCAGACATGCCTGTAATCTATGTAATGGGTTAGCTTCATCTGGATTATAGACAGATATAGCTGGGTATCATCAGCATAACAGTGGAAATTAATCCCATGTTGTCTAATAACTCTATCGATTGGGAGCATGTATAAAGTAAAGAGAATTGGTCCTAGCACTGATCCCTGTGGTACTCCACAGGTAACCTTTGAGCATGAGGAAGATCTATCATTAACATGAACAAACTGAATTTGATCAGATAGATCAGATTTAAACCAGTCTAGTGCTGTTCCTTTAATTCCAACAAAATATTCAAGTCTTTCTAAAAGAATATTCTGATCAACTGGATCAAATGCAGCACTGAGATCCAACAGGACGAGCACAGATACAAGTCCATTATCTGAGGCCATGAGAATATCATTAGTGACTTTCACCAGAGCTGTTTCAGTGCTATGATGAGCTCTAAAGCCAGACGGGGCCGCCTGTGGAGCTGGTTGACAGTTGCCTTTTGTATCTATGCTTCTTTTTCTACGTCTGCTTCTGTCTCCTTGAACCCCAGTCGGCCTCAGCAGATGGCCGCTCACACTGAGCCTGGTTCTGCTGGAGGTTTCTTCCTGTTCAAAGGGAGTTTTTCCTCTCCACTGTCGCTACAAGCATGCTTAGTGTGAGGGATTGCTGAAGAGTCAATGAGTCGATGCAATCAACTGGTTTTCCTTAGATAGAAAACTTTGAATCATCTGACTGGATGATCTGGTGAACTGGAACGGGACCTGAGATGCCCAAACAGTCCTAGTTAGATCCAAACATATTATTCAAAATTACTGTATGTCAATTTAGGACCAATCAACAGATTTTTAGTGGCTTGGTTCATGAAACCAACATGAAAAATGAGCAGAATCCAGATTGGCAGATTTTCTGGGTTAGTACCATCCGATGATCCGTCACAGAACCCCTGCTGTGGCCCAGTGGACCCAGTCATTACTGACCAAACAGAACACGGAGCGACACAGCAAGCATTTTATTTCTACGTAAAAACTCAATTCAGTTATAATCATTTCAGCTATAAAAGAACTAAACAGCTTCTAAAAATGCAGACAGCCGACGTCTCCCTGCGGTTCTGGTGTTACCCCGCCCGCAATAAGAACCACAAAGATTTGACTGGAGAGAAAAAAATCACGTGTGCCGCCTTTTCCAAGGCTTTAACAAACAAGATTTGATCTAATGTGAAAAAGAAGAAGAAGCTTTCTAATTCCAGCTGGGTGTCCTGAGCAGCAGGAAGGCGGTTTGCAGGTTCTGCTCCATGACTGGGTCGGTACTCAGGGCTGCAGCCCGTAGTTCTCTATGCCAACCATTCTCCTGCGAGGCTGAAAGGAGGAAGGCAGAAAGATATCCCCTTTATTTAACATTATTTCTGAAACACACAGCAAAATACCGTATTTTCACGACTATAAGGCGCATATAAACGTCTTTTTTTTCTCAAAATGTGCGGCGCGCCCTATGGACTTCTGAGACCACCATGCACCATGTAGAACTCCTCATTAAGGAGATGATGAAAGAGTGGCTGAGGGAGGTGAATGTAAGGAGACCAGGTGGTTTTTTTCCACTCATCACCATCGCTGTTAATCTGTGACTCCATGCGTGTCCATCTCACAGCCGATGTTAAAAACATGGTGAAACAAATTAAGCTGTGCTCGCTGTTATTCAACCGCTTGACATCGGTGTGAACCGGACGCAGCAGGTGCAGCAGGCGCAGCGAGTTTACATGCAAAGTCAATGGTTGACGCGTGTCAAGGCGCAGCAAAAGCTCCCGCAGCGCGTTTTGAGCAGCAGGCGCAGCGCGTTGGGAGCGTTTAAGCATCTGAGGCGCCGCCAACGCGCTGCTGCAGCTCAAGATGGAAAAATTGAAGTTTTGCTGCTGGACTGCAATTATAGCTGCAAGGCAAAGAAAGGATAGAGTAGCTCCGCCCAACGCGCGTCAGACACACTTTTGCACCGCGCAGCCAGAGCAGCAAAGCTGCATCAGCCGCACATCAGAACTAACTGGTACAATCTAAACTGCAGGCAGCAGGATAATAGAAGCGAACATATTCTGCCGGCAGAATAATTCCACAAAAAGTGGAAGGCAGCGCCGTGCAAGTTACGCCACCGTTAGCAGATGGATTGTTGATGCTTGGACTAACGTTTCTGCTGGCTCTGTTGTTCAAGCTTTCGAAAAAGCCGGCATTATTTCTGAGGAAACGCCTGGCAAGGAAAGTGACTCTGACAGCGAAGAAGGGGAAATTGGCATGTCTGATTTAGCGCAGCTGTTTAATTCAGAAACAGAGGATGATGACTTTGATGGGTTTGATTAATACTTTGTAATAAGTACATGAATAAAGCACAATCATACTCAGTTTTGCTCCCGCTCTATTTTTCTAATTCAACAGCAGCCTCTGGGTTCACCGCGGCGGCTGGTAGGTGTTCTTCATTTAAATAATTTAAAGGATTATAAAAGGATCATAGGATAATAAAAGCGAACATATTCTGTCGGCAGGTTTCAGGATTTTAAGTTAATTTATGCGTAATAAACTGTTTCAGAGGAGTGATCACAGCCCTTTGTCATCAGCGATGTGTCTGTCCCACAGCCAGCTCCCAGGTTTGAATAATACTTTGTAATAAATACACCTTGCAGCTATAAAGTAGTTTTAATATGTTTTTAAGTGAGAAAGTCCACCTGAAAACGTAATCATTGCAGTCTGTTCATCCAGATTATCATCCTGCCTTCTATACTATTTCTGTCGGAGGCGCTCAGACCCCCACATACCAGCGGTGCGCTGTCAGTAGGAATGGCTCACGGCCAGCTCCCAGGTTTGATTAATACTTTGTAATAAATACATGAATAAAGCACAATCATACTCAGTTTTGCTCCCGCTCTATTTTTAAATACGCAGTAGAGATATTTAAACGTAGTAGAGGACATGTACCTGTATATAAAACCCGCGCCCTATAGTCCGGTGCGCCTTATGTGTGTGTTAAATACAGAAATGGGACACATAACTGAGACGGCGCCTTTTAGTACGGTGCGCCTTATGGTCGTGAAAATACGGTAATGAGTTCATGACTATAAGCTGAAAAAACAAAACAAAAAAAACACTTTATTTATAGTTATTTTAAAAAATCACAAATACTCAAAGGATAAAAAGCAAAATCAACCAAACAGATTTAATTTAGAAAGAAAGATTGCAAAAACTAGTTTGGCTTCCGCCACATTACAAAGAATACTTTAGTTAGGGTGACCAGACGTCCTCTTTTTTACGGACATATCCTACTTTTTCAGACAGAAATAAAATGTCAAGGAGGAATTTCAAAATCAACCAGGATTTTGGTTGACTGCCTCAAACACATTACATAGCCTACAGTGCATCATGATTCCATTGCCACTCCTAAAAAACATCTTGATCTGCACTGCTGGGACAAAAAGAACGCTTTCAAAGCTGGGCACATTTGCAGCACTCACTGTGTGGTGGTGTAGTAACAGAACTTCTATATATAGATGCACGGTGGCGCTATCTGCAGGCAAGTATAAGGCAAGTATACAACCCCCACCCCCCTTTTCCTCCTCTCGCTACTTAATAAACTATATGTGGCTGATCATCCTCTGCCGAGCGTAAAGAATCTCTTTGTCTAACTATCGAGATTTTATTTCTTCCAGCTCACAAGAGGTGAGTCTAAACACTCTTTAATTTCTCTAATTTCAAAGGAAACCCTAAATTAAATCCCCCCCCAAAAAATCATTGCATTCCGTTTATTTTTGGATAAATATCCTGATGAAAGGATACGTAGATCTTTGAATATTTCTCTCTCATTATTCTCGTTTCTATCTATTTAAATATGATGGAAATGTTTGCTTGTATTCTCATTAAAACATTTTCTCATTTTCCTGTGAATATTTTAACATTTTAGTAGCATATTAATTCACTTTAGGTCTGGGGTTGCCATGGCATTACAAGGCAATTATGGAGGTTCTCTCTGTATTTTTCTTATCAAGCCCTGTGAATTTAAATCTACTTTGACCCCTGAGCTGCAGGAACCAAGGGGGAAACTGAAGAAAAAAAAAAAAAATAGCCAAAGTAGAAAGAAGAATGATTTTATTATTTTCTTTTTTTGCAGATTTTATTGATCTGTGTGTAAAGCAGAATTCATAGTAGATCAGGAAGTGTTTGCTTTGGGATGGAAACCCTGGAGTCTGAAACCATTCCTTTATGGTAGTTGTTGTTAGCCCGTTTGTCGGCTAGATTAACCGATAGGATGTGTTGAACTAGATCTGCTATTTTCCCAACTTTTGTGAGACACTTTTTTACAAGGTAGAACATTAATTCATCAAAAAGTTTATTTGAATTTTATAAATCAAAGTTTTCTGTCCAACAGCAATGATGATCTGCACGGCAGCATTCTATGCCCAGCTACTGTAGCATCTAGGATAGAGCTGCCAGTACCGGAAAGAATCTGGTTGTTATTCCAAATTGTAAAGCTTTTTTTTTTCTTTTGCAACATAAAACTGACTAAAACCTTTTTAAGTTTTAGTCGACTAAAACAGAGTAAGAACTATGACATATCGTAATAACTAAAATGTGACCAAAACTAATAGATGCAGTCCTGAGGACTTAGACTAAATCTAAGATGGCAGCCAGAAACGGCACTCGGGACCGTTCTCTTCTTCAGGGGGGGCTGTGGAAACCCGCCATCCTGGCATCACGCCGTCTCCTCCCAGCCTTTGTGTGGGAGCTCTCTCATAAAGTCCCTTTCTATTAACAATCTTAGACCATCATCAGTTGTGGGTGTTTACCTTTTCATCATCACAGCAGCAGCAGCAGCAGCAGCGGATCAGGACCAGGATGACCAGAGTAAGGACCACACCTGAGCAGAAGGAGGAGAGCGATTGTTTTCAGTGTGGGTGGGTAAACCGTTACATGTGACATCACAGCGAGTTTTAACTGAATATTACGCTAAGAGATGAAAATATGAGGTGAAGTCGTGTAAACGAGCTGCTCTGTTGATTGTTTGGTTTCGTGATGTTATCAGAGTTCTCAGATTTTGCATCGCGATCGATGGAAGAGGTGGCTTGAACTTCCTGCTTCTCTCTCCCTCTGATCTCGCCCTGCCTCCACAGTCAAAGAAACATGTTGCAGCTATGAATACAAACAATTTTAACTGTTCAAACCAGTGATGGGTGCAGATCAGGTATTAGAGTAACTGACATTTTGTTTAGCTTTTATTAGCCAGTTAGCATTCACTAATGTTTAGGATGGGGGTTCCAAATGGTGGTGGTGGTGTACATACTTCTGTTCCTAACAGAGCACTTCGCTCTCAATCTGCAGGTTTACTAGTGGTTCCTAGAATTTCTAAAAGTAGAATGGGAGGCAGTTTTAGTCCGTGAGGCAGACACCCTGTCTACTTTTAAGGCTAGGCTTAAAACTTTCCTTTTTGATAAAGCTCATAGTTAGAGTGGCTCAGGTTATCCTGAGCTATCTCTATAGTTCTGCTGCTATAGGCTTAGACTGCTGGAGGACATAGGGACCCCTTTTTCATCATTCTGCTTCATTCTATCTCTGTTCTCCCACTCTGCAGAATCTGTTAGTTCAATCTCTAACGTTCTGCTCTCTCTGCTTTTTCTCATAGTAGCTTCATCTGGTCTGTTCCTGTTTGGCTGTGACTCCATCCTGGAGAGAAATATCAGCTGTGCTGCTGCCATCAACACCTTTGTTTCTAGATGTTGGAGATCGGCCTGTTTTCCAGTGTAGTCCTGTTTCTCTGACTGTGACTAACTGGATGTGCTCTCTTCATCCTCTGACATGGGAGCTGGCTCGGAGCTCGTCTGCCTGGCTGTGTGTTTCCTGGACGGCGCCGCCTTTTACAGTTGCCTTTTGTATATATGCTTCTTTTTCTATGTCTGCTTCTGTCTCCTTGAACCCCAGTCGGCCTCATCAGATGGCCGCTCACACTGAGCCTGGTTCTGCTGGAGGTTTCTTCCTGTTCAAAAGGAGTTTTTCCTCTCCACTGTCGCTACAAGCATGCTTAGTGTGAGGGATTGCTGAAGAGTCAATGAGTCGATGCAATCAGCTGGTTTTCCTTAGATAGAAAACTTTGAATCAATCTGACTGGATGATCTGGTGAACTGGAAAGTGACCTGAGATGACATGATGTGAATTGGAGCTATAGAAATAAACTGAATTGAATTTAATTATATTTTATTCATATCGAATTCATATCAAATATACCACTGAATTATGAAATGCACAATTAAATAAAATACCCATGAAATAAGTATGAAATAACAGATTTAAATTATTCATTAAATTTTATTCAAGAAAATGTATTTAATTACTTCACTGCATATTTGTATATAATTACAGACTGTAGTGTATGTTATAGTCTGTGTTATGTTTGAGGTCAGAGCCTGAAATGTTTTTTAACCCCTGGTTTAGTGAAGCAAACCTTCGGTTGGCTGAGTCCAAAATAAGAAAATAAAATGTTTCGAGCTGCTCAGCATCCAGAACAACTAGAGCTGAAAGGTCTACTCCCACATGCAGCGCAGCTCTCACCGATGAAGATGAAGAAGACTGCAAACGAAGCGATGTCCCAATCAGACTGGAACATCTGCTTGGACTGCAGTCTGGAGACCACATCATTGAACTGGTCCTCAAAGTCCTGCTGAAGGTTTCTGTCATCCATCTCCTGCTCTGCTTCCAGAAAAACAGATATTAGAACATAAACCCCCAATCTGCCAGAGGGATGAATTATTCTAACTGAATTAGTCATTTAGAAACAGGGCCGTAACCAGGAGTTATACCGAGGACAAATATTGAGATAAATCTTACTTGACAAAAAAACATCCTCATATGGTGACTTTTAAAAATATATTATGGAAACGTGAATAAAGAGTTAAATCACAAGCCCGTAAATGAGGTGAATATAATCATTTTTATAACTATTCCAAAACTCACAAAATTAGACTATTTGAGTGAGTTTAGAACAAGACATGAACCCATTAACCAATTACAGCAAATTAATCAATAAAATGGATCAAATGATCTTTGGTATTTTATTTTATTTTTTAAATAATCATTTCTACCAATGCTATAGAAAAGCAACAAAAATTCTAACATTTTATTTGGCATTTTTGGCATCCCCACAACAAGTTTCATCTAACACTGTTTTTTAATTTTTCCATGTAGAGGTTGGAAAACAGCTGCAACAGAAAATGATTCAAAGCAGCCTGAGAAACATCAGTCACCGTGACATGTTTTAGACTTTTAAAGGACTGAAATCTACAGTTTAGGTTTGACGAATCTAGAATTTAATAACAAGCTTTTATCTAATACAGCCCCTTAAAACCGACAAATTAATCAAACTGCTGCAAAATAATCAGATTAAAAATGTTGATTAAAAATGTTTATAGTCTTCATCCCTTTTTCCTAAATATGTCCTTAGGTGGGTTAGGGGAAGTCATTTCCAGAGGACTGCATCCCCATAGCAGCGATATGAAATGTGGAGTCATCTCCATGTCATGCATCTGTTCTACCCAGCCACTGAAGCAGGTGAACCAACCTGTGCAGATTAGACTCACCTGGTTAATTGGCTGGGTAGATTAAATACATGACATGGAGATGACTTGTTGACTCCACATTTCCCATGTCTGCCCCAAAGTAAGCATCTCTTCCTCATAAATCTTCAAGAAAGTTTCCTCAGATTTCTTACTGAAAATTCAGCATTTTTCTGGAAGCTGAAAACAAAATGAGCATTTTTAGATAAAATGTCCGGACAGGTGGCGCTGCTGCAGAGTATACCGGCTGTCCTAGGAGTCCCGGCCTGCTGCGCTTTGCCCAAAATCTCTCCTCTCTTGTTACCCAATTTCCTGTCTGCATTAAATAACGGCCAAAAAACAAAAAAAAAACACATCTTAAAAAATAAAATTCAAACCAAATGCCAAATAAAAATAGCACCAAGCTATTTAAATATTTAGTTTGCAAACTAAATATTATGTTTGGAGCCAAAAATTCATTATTTTGACTAAACATTTAGCTAGCTAAATACTCATCTTAAATAATATTTAGTTTGGTAAAATTAATATTTAGCTTGCTGACACAGTTTTTAATTGTCAATCTTAAAATTATGAATGACATAATTAAAAAAATATTAACTAAAATAATAAATCCCTATATTTTTCTCTTGAAACATGCCAAATATCCATAAATATTGCTCCTAATTTTTTACTGCTTAACTTTACTAACGGCTCTCCATACACACATACTCCGGAGAACAGGCTGGTTTTAGTTACCGGGGTGATTTGCAGCCAACAGCTTTCAGGAAATGAAGCTGTTGTTTGTTCTACGTTTCTCAGCTGCCTAGTAATTTGTGGACGCTCCCTTAGAAACCGAGCGTCTGACGTCCATCAGAGAGAAACACCTGAGCCAGGCTTAAACTAACTTTACATTAAAACCTGGAATAAACGCATCATTTCTCTACATGCTCAGAACGGGCAGACGTTAAAATGCAATAAAATAAATCGCTTATTTCTTTAGAAAACACGGAAAACCCGAGATGGACTCGGACCTACCTGTAGAGAGAGGCGCTTCTCCTCATTCTGGGCTTTTCCTTCCGGGTGCAAAGATCTTCTCTTTTTTATAACAACCTTTATTGAACATTAACTCGCAGGCCTCAGGATGGAGCTATTTGGAAAGCGGAAGGAAAATAAAATGTATTGTAGGGAAATTCCAGAAAACAGTTCATAACATGGAACACTTGTCTTAGAAGTGGAGTTTTAATTTTCTGTTCATAAAACAAAATTTTTGCTTTTTACTCAAAAAGAAATCAAGAAGTAAAACCGAAGTTATATTATCAGGAACTAGAAAGAGTAAAGCAATTAAAATTCTTAGGAGTTTGGTTTGATGAAAAATTATCCTGGAAAGTGCAAATAGGTAAGGTTATTAAAAAATATAAAAAGGTATTTAAAGGAAAAGTCGCTCAAAAGTCGCTTCAAACTTCTGAAAGTCCTTTAAATCTGAAATGATTCCATCCTGTTCAATAAATGATCAGTGTTTTTAATTGAGAGTAATTTTCATGTGAATGTGCTTTACTGGAGGCATCCATGTTTGTCAAAGAACACTCCTGCCACCTACTGGTTAGTGACGTCACGGTGCGGTATCGGCTGTTGATCAAGTCCCAGTGCTGTATCTGGTGTTTGTCACAACGCGCTATTATCCAAGTCATCTTGAACACATTCTTCTTCCAAATGTTGGCTACATATTACGGGTTTTTTCTCTGGCCAGAAGTTCGATGGCAAATCCTCCCTCTTCAAGTTGGCGATCCAATGACCAACCCGTCCGTGGAGGATCAGGAATCAGAAAGGTGGAATAACTTTTCACTTTTACCCGATGTATTCCAGCATCCAGCTGCCATGCACGTGGGCATTGTCAGTTTCACTATAGCTCTGGTGAATTTCAATGGTGAAGTCCTCTGGAAATCTTCAATAATTGTTGTTGATTGCAGATGTGTCTAGTAGTTCCCATTGATTTAGCTTGTAAAGCGGGGAGAATGGCGTTAGGCTTACCGCACCGTGACGTCACTGCTGGAAGATGGCAGGAGGGAGGGGCTACTATATTTGGGCAAAAATGGCCGCTTCCAGACTCAGTGATCGCAATGAAAATTATTGTTTTTATTTTTTCACAGATTAACACTAAATTCATTAAATCACCGCGAACGTATTAGTTTTAGGTATAAATAATGATCCATTGTTTATTCCTTGATAACTGGACTTTTCCTTTCATATAATGAGATGTTTAGTTAGTCATGAATGGGGAGCAGATAGACAAGCTATAAAATGTATTTATATAAATCTGATTAGATAACGATTATGTAATCTACTGTATGGAACAGCTCAGGCCTCTCTAACCGGACGACAACAAGCAGAACTCCCCAGATGTGACCGTCAGCCTGCTGCAGGTTGGACGGCTCATGGCCCAGACGTTGCTCCTTTCAGGCCTCCACTGCCGCAGCCGTGCTCCGAGATCTCACTCCTAGGCTTTCACTGCACCAGGCAGACCTGTGGCCTAACGCAGCTTTCGGAGCCAACTCAGCGTCCCCTCAGAGCCCCAAGGCTCCAGGGGACACGTAGATGACGTGGTGGGGCTGGCGGTGGGATATTTTATTCGGAGTCAGCTTTCTTTTGGGGCGATTGCACCCCAGATACCTGGATGCTCTCCACTCTGATCAGGGGAAAGTCCACTTTTGAAGTCGGCCTGGTCTCATAGAGTTTGGATGGCCACCATCCTCTAAATAAGCGGTCACCAACTTTTTTTTTTACAGTTGAGGGCTAATTCAGGGGCACTGAGTCACAGGAAGGGCTACTAACACTGACCTATGAATTGCAAGGGTCAATGTTCACCTAAACTTCATACATTATAAACATATCTTTATCGTCTCTTTAAATTTAGACATTTTCATTTTGAAATCTCTATAAATGCCATATATGATTAAATGATGAAATGTTCTATAACCCTATTAAAAAAAGAAGAGCAACAGAATACAGTGAAATTTCAAACGTAGCTCAATGTTGAGTTGTTCTATTTTCAGAAGACTCTGAGGGCACCCCTTGAGGTCCTTGAGGGCCCCTTGGGGCCCGCGGGCACCATGTTGGTGACCCCTGCTCTAAATGATGATACAGGTTGGAGTCATTGATGACACAGACAGGCTGTAAACTTTATGGATCTTGATCTGAAAATTAAATATAAACATTTTAGTCCTCAATAAAATATATTTTCTTTAATCAGTTGGGAATGTATATATTTCTTTATTTATTTACAGAAAATATATCCAACAACAGCTGAGTTAGAACAGATTATTTTTTCCAATACCTCCAACCAGTAGAAACTTATTGTAATTTCTAAGTCAGGTTCTCTGCCCCCAGAAGGTCAGGCTCTTGTAGTTTGACTGATAAACTCAGAAGCCTGAAGTGTTTCTAAACAAGGTAGATTGAACTGCCCTAAAAAAAAAAAAAGCACAATTGTTGCTTTTTTTAGAGCATGTTTGTTTGCGTTTCTGGATAGCAATGCTGCACTAAGGTCACCATGAATAAATGATTATTAATTATATTATTATGATAATAATCATCATCATTATCATCATGATGATGATGATTATTAATGATATTAAAAAGCCAAGTAGAGATGTGATTCATAGGGAGGGAAAGCTTGAGAAGCATAGAAAAATTTCTATGCTAGAATGTGGTTTTACCAACCTGCATCTGACCTGAGCTCCTGAGGGCCATTATTCACAGATCCTGAAAGAGTCTAAACTTTCCAGTGATGTCAAACTTGTGGAGATCAAAAACTCAAAGAAATTATAATTTGACTGTCGGACCTCTGCAAAAAACGCTGTTGTTCTGTCAGATGAGCATACCTCGTCAGACCAGCATACCCATAATCAATACCCTTTAGTTTTGTCACAAAAAATAAAATTTAAACTACCATAATGGCCGTGTATCCTTTAGTTGTGTACAAAAAAAAAAAAAGCTTACTCTTTGGTGTTTTTTTAAGCCTATGACGATCTGACTACAGGACTAAAGGGATACACGCCTGTTAAAGGCTTTTAAAGTTTATTATTTGAACAAAACTATGAATAAACACAAATCTGACGTCTTGCTCATACGTATTGACTATAGGTATGCTCATCTAACAGAACAACGGCTTTAAAGATTCTTTGAACCACAATGGAAGCCAGCTGCCTGGTAACAAAAGCTGTTGATTTGAATAACTTTGCATTGCCTGCTCCAGCATCTGGTGAGGCAAAACAGTTCAACTGAATGAGATTCAACTAGGGGAGAGAAGGGAGGAAACAGAGAACACAAAAACCTCCGAGCAGTCTGCTTCCAGAGCAATGGCGTAGCGACACAGCAATAGGCCCGTAAGCAACATTATCTGGGTGGGCCCCATATGAAGTACAAGACGTGATAAAGGTTCAGGATACGGCCACAGTTCCATAAATCGGCCAAGAAGATACAATTATGCTATTCTCAGCAGTATATGATCACACACGGAAAAATAGTGACTGCGCACCTTGAATGGAACCATTGGTGACAGCGCACCACCACATGTTACAGACTGGAGACTGACACAGGAGTGGATTTTCACTCCTGTCCCGTCCCACTCCCACAAAAAAAAATTGTGTCCCGTCCCGATCCCGGGCCAGAGTAGAAATCTAAATCCTGTCCCGTCCCACTCCTGTCATGATCTGCTAGTTTTTTGTTCCTTGGTTCGTGTCCTGGATACTAGCAGCCAGGGGAAAGAGGGTTTTTGTGTTTGTCTCGTCTCCTGATCGTCCACTGTTCCTCTGGGTTTTTGGCTCATTATGGGGGGGAGGTTCAGTTTTTATCCAGTAAGCCTGGCTCCAGGGGGGAGACCAGTTTAAAGTCCTGCTTCAAGTTCCGGTTCCACGTCCTGTCTCGGCTACCCTCTTCCACTGAGCCTGCCTGTCTGCACCTGATCCTGTCTGCTCCTGTGCGTGACCACCTGATCATGATTCTGGTCCCAGTCAGACTCTGAACCCTCCTGGAAGCCTGTGGATGCCTGGAAGTCTGGATCCTGCCACCTGTCTCTGTTCCTGCCTGATCTGGATCCTGTTCCTGTCTGTTCTGGATCCCTGACCAGGATCGGCTTCCAGCATGTCCTCTGGAACTGCAGCACTGGGACATTCTTGGTCTGGACTGTTAAACCAGGTAAGTGACCAACTCAGATAATCCTCTGTCAGTTTATCGTGGTCACTTACCTGTGTTTCTCCCAATACAGAGTGTCTGAGATTGGGCGGTGCCCCGCCCTTCCGCCTGCAGTGTCCGCGAGCCACAGCTCCGCTTTTGTTTAGTTTTATTTAATAAACATTTGAACTTTCCTACTGACTGTCTCTCCTTGAATACTGGGTCCATCTGTCCTTGTTTTATGACAACTCCTGGTGAAATTATTCCCACTTCCATCCCGCTCCCATTCAGAATGACTCCCGCTCCCGCACCACTCCCATTCTTGTTGTCTTCAATCAGATTTCTGCCGATACATTGAATCTGAAAGTTCTCAGCTTGTTTTGCAAATCAAACTTTTCGAAGTCAAGTTCGCCACTAACTGTTGGTCCCTCCATTGTTGTTTTTGAGCGCGGGTGAAAAACTCAGAGCGGAAGCACTGTTGGATTTTGGGTCGTGTAGTTTTTTTGACTCGCCTTATAGTGTAGGCTTCAAGGAAAAAAACTACAAAATGGCGCCACCGTGCCAGTACTGGATTATTTTTCTTTCTATTTTATTTAATTTTTTGGCATCGATCCTAGTTATTTTTTAGGTACTATTGGTTTGCTCCCGCTCCCGTCTGCTCCCGTTAATGTTTAATCCTGTACCGTCCCAATCACCTGATCGTTACTAATACTGACTCCCAGCCCACAGGAATCCCAAGGGAATCCCGTGGGATTCCGGAAAAAATGTCAGTCTCTGTTACAGACATCCCAAGTTCCAAAAACTCATTTCAGGAAGATGCTTATCCAACCCCCCCCCCCCCCCCCCCCCCCCCCCCCCGCCGTAGACAACCGACCCGAAACATACACAGACACACACACACATCCCGCAATTGTGCCTACGCAATTGCAGTAGTTCTAATCCGCACATGATGCAAGAATTATTG